CCTAATTTCTCTGGGAAAATGATTTTACAGTTTCAAGGCAGTATTGAAATGCGAATTCACTTTGTCGTTAAGTTTTGTCTGCGATTTTACAATAATTTTATAATAAATACAATTTTAACCATGCCAGGGCGCATCCTCTAATACCATAACTTTCCAGCTTATTTAAGATTATTTGATGAGTATTGAAGGCCCTACTTATGTCAAAAAAGGCACCTATTGTAAATAACTTAAAGATTTTTTTATACAGTTTTGAAAAAACTGATAAAAGGGAAATGAGCTTGAAATTCTCTACCTTGTGTTTTGCCTTTTTTCTACTTCCCGAGCGCAAGCTAAAGAAGTGGAAAAAAGGCAAAAAACATAAAAGTAGCAAGTCCATCGGACGACTTGCTACTTTTATGTTTTCTCGACGTTTCATGACCCCTAGAGTACGAAAACAGGTGTCTTGTTTCCGTCTGTCTATCTGCCGTCTGACGTCTGTCCGCGTCTGTGTCGATTTTTATTAGATAGGTAATCTTTATAGATGGTAAAATGCTAACCAAAATTTGTCTGATCATCCCCATTTCCTACTTATAAAAGCTAAACTTAGCCCCGCCCACCCACCCGTTTTCTAATTTTTTTCTTCTGAAATAAGAAATAGTTACTATAGTAAATTGTACAACAAAAAAAGTTACGATTAGAGTTTTTTGTTTTATTTTGTTTGCAGCCTAGGTTCTATTATTTTCCAATTCTACTCTACAAAAGAACAAATAATTAACCCCACCCACCCACCCTGCCACCATTTTGGTGATTAATTTTATTTGCTCTGAATGAAAATTATACTGTACAAGAATAAAATTTGTCGTTAGAATGAGAAGAGGAGGGGTGAGCGGGGTTAGTACTTGCTAATCTAGGACTGATTTTGTCAGATCTTATATTGACAAATGACATACGCTCTAAAAAATAGAGGTGTTCCATTTGAAAAACACCTTGTACATAAACATTGTTTAATTTGTTACACGCATATTAAGGCAAGGTGACCAAAAAATTATGTGCAAATTGCAATCCTCCATTTTTAAAAATGACGGAACTGAGTTTTAAATATGACAATTTTCTTCTAGGCGTTATCTCCAACTTTTACAATAATAATAAATATGTTACTTACATTTTATAAAATAACATATTATTCCACTTGTAGTTTGTAGTTTATGAATCCGTATTCTAGGCATCCAGATGTTTGTAAAAAGCAAAATTGTAAAACCAAGTACTCTGACCTTACAAACGTTTTAAGGTTTTTGGAAACAGTAAAGCGTTAATCAAAATTTATCCGTTTACGACCCCCCTAAAAACTGGTGACACCATCTCAAAATTTTGAGAAATAAATCCAGTCTAAAATGTGCAATATATGATGAGTTGTGAATTATCATTATATTCATATTTTTTAGAATTCCTTATTCAGGGTGACTCAAAAAAATAATGAATGGGTCAATTTATTTTATTGATTAAATCAGGAACAACTAACTCCCTTTTCCAGAAAATTTGGAAATATAATACTGTTATTATTAGTATTACACTGCACCAATCCAAACTGATATACATGTCCTTGCAAAAATGTTGATGACGTCATAACAAAATTGTGTAAAGGAAAAACTCATTTGAAACATACGCGTAGCACGCTTCCTTATATTTATTTTAACATTACATACATATCTTTATTTTAACTTATTAGGGTTCTCATAAAAAAATTAAATTCCTAAAATCAAATTTTGTAATTTTTCGAGAAAGCTCGATATATTTTATTGTACTTCGACCAATGTTTGTAAATTGGGACAATTATTGCAGCTTTCAGTTCCTCTGGGAAATACTCGTTTACAAAAAAAAATGTACTAAGAAAGTTCTTCAAGGTATCACAGACGAATGTTAAATCTAACTCTACACATATAGTATATAAATCAGGTGCATCTGTTACACCACTTATTAATTTATATTTACAACACAATTGTTGAAAGATTTGGCGTTTATCTAAAAACATAAAGTGAACATTATTAATTATTACATCCTGAAAGCATTGAAAGTTAACATTTTGATGTAAAAAATTATATTTTAAATATTCCAGGAAAACATTAGTATAGCTTCTAATTTCGAGGTGTATGCAGTATAAAAAGGCGACTATAATATTGTTACGATTTACAGAAATTAAATCGACATGAATAAAAGTGGACAAATTATTTTTTGTAAAACAAATTTACACGACTAACTACACGGCGAAAATATAACAGCGAATGACTTAACCTATGGCATTAATCGACCCAGCTGAACTAGACGAAACTAGCCTGCTCCCGACGGTGATCCCTATTTAAACTCATACGTTTCTTCTGGAGAGATAACAATCCGCCTTCGAGGTTATTCTGGAACCCACCATCGAGACTTCCCCAGACTTCTGGAAAAAAAACGCTCCCAGAATTGTCTTTAGTTGAACTCCGCCGTCACCGATGATGAGTCAGAGTCGTACTGGCGCGGCGTATGGGTTTACTTCATAACAATCTAACTACAGTTACTCTCTAAACATGACCGAACTAAAGAGATATATTAATAGTCCAAATTTTCATAAAATTCGAGGCCCATTCTTATCACATTCTTATAATCTGCTACTCCTAAATTAGCTAGATATACATAAGCCGTGTAGTTTTTTATTTTTAAATGCATGCTATTTATAGCACAACTGTGAATCTAAAAAGCAATGGATGACGTGCAACGTGCAGAGTAAGATCTTGAATTAAGATTTGTTGAATACCTAACAGTTACCTATTATTCAGCACTAAAGTATTTATAATACATACTTCAAATGTTAGTCACTTTAAAAGTTTCAAAACTAAGGTAAAAATGTTTCTACTAAAAAACTAATGAGGTTACATTATCATTTCCATAATATCTATAAGTAAATCTTTTTATATAAAAGGCAATGTCCCGACTGACCTATCAACGCCCAGCCCAAACCGCTAATGCTAAAAATTTGAAATTTGCAGAGAATGTTCATTTTATACTGGAGGCATCGTTTAAGAAGCGATTTCTCGAAATTCATCGCCTAATAGGTTTAAAAAGGGGTGATAAAATTTGTATAGGACCAATATATCTACCGTAAATTTACATCGTTACGTGAAACCTGGTACATTTTAATTCTCTTCAATACAAATAAGGAAATACATTATGTTTAAGCATTTTCGGAGATTCGACCCCTAAGGGGGTGAAAAATGGTGTCTAAATTTGGGCGGCCGAGTTTGTATAGGAAAAATATTTCTACTATAAATTGAAATTTTTACATGAAACTTGGTATTAATGTTCTTCAACACAAATAATGAAACCCGTCTTTAAGCATTTTCTAAAATTCAACCCCTACGTTGAGGAGGCTAAGTTTGTATGGGAAAATATTTCTATTGTACGAGTATATTTAAGTTTTTACGTGAAACTTGGTATTAATGCTCTTCGACACAAATAAAGAAACACGTATTTAAACATTTTCCGAGATTCAACCCCTAAGGGGTTAAAAAAGGGTGTGGCTAAGTTTGTATGAGAAAAATAATTTTATGGTGATGTTTACTTAAAACTTGGTATTAATGCTCTTCAGCACAAATAATAAAACACGTATTTAAGCATTTTTACAGATTCAACCCCTAAGGGGGTGAAAAGTGTAAGTTTGTATGCGAAAAATATTTCCATTGTAAATTTTGAGGTAATGTTTATTTAAAAGTTGGTATTAATGCTCTTCAACACAAATAACAAAACACGTATTTAAGCATTTTCGGAGATTCGACCCCAAAGGTGGTGAAAAGTGGTGTCTAAGTTTGGGCGGCTAATTTTGTATAGGAATAATATTTCTACTATGAATTGAAATTTTTACGTGAAACTTGGTGTTAATGTTCTTCAATACAAATAATAAAACCCGTCTTTAAGCATTTTCTAAAATTCCACCCCTAAGGGGGTGAAATGTGGAGGCTAAGTTTGTATGGGAAAATATTTCTATTGTACGAGTACATTTAAATTTTTACGTGAAACTTGGTACTAATGCTCTTCAACACAAGTAATGAAACACGTATTTGAACATTTTCCGAGATTCAACCCCTAAGGGGGTGAAAAATACTGGTTAAGTTTGTATGGGAAAAGTATTTCTATTGTAAATTTAGATTTTTGCGTGAAACTTGATATTAAATTAATGCTAAGGGAGTGAAATATGGAGAGTAAGTTTGCATGGGAAGAATATTTCTAATGTAAATTTAAATTTCTACGTGAAAATTGGTATTTGGCTCTTCAATACAAATAACGAAGCACGTATTTAAGCATTTTCCGAAATTCAAGTGAAAAGTGGTGGCGAAGTTTGTATGGGAAAATATTTCTACTGTAAATTTAAATTTTTAAGGGGAACTTGGTATTAATACTCTTCAACACAAATAATGAAAGATGTATTTCAGATTTTTTCAAAATTCCACCCCTAAGAAGATGAAAGGAAGTGACAAAGTTTGTATGAGGAAAAATATTTTTACCGCGATTTTTACTTGAAATTTTGGGTTGATGCTTTTCAACACATTTTTTACTTGAAACTTAGCAATAATGCTCAACACAACGAATCGTCTATGCGAGCGAAGCCGCGGGCGAAAAGCTAGTAATTTAATAATTTGATGTGAAATACTCTAATATTTTGTCGTTGTTTCTACGCGTACCGTACAGATTTTATAACATTAGTGTCAATGTATTAGCATTCAGCACAGACTTAGTCCCTTTTATCGAACGTCAAATTAAAATGTAACTATCCGTTTTATAACGTTAACAAATAGAGACAAAAAAGCTTCCAACGATCATTATCTCGAGATCCCCGATCAACATTCAAAAGTTCCTAACTACCAACCAGTAGATTAAATTAAAACCCTCCACCTTAACAACCCGAGCGTGTCGCATACAACCCACTCGAGTCCATCCACAAACTGCCGCCAAATCGGTTTACCTCCTATAACGTAAATGTCTTATTGCAGGCTATTCGGCGGCGGCTTTGTTAGCCATCCTGTTCGCTCTGCCGTTCGCCTGGCGAGTGCTCGTCCACCGCGAGCAGGGTCATTGGGAGCAGCCCTTGTCGGCCTTTTACTTCGCCCATTTGGAGCTGTTCCTCGGGAACGGGTGCCTGGGAGTGGGAGTCCTGATGCTGCTCGCCCTCACTCTGGAACGTTACGTCAGCGTGTGTCACCCGGGGCACGCCCGTCCCATCCTGGGCTCGCCGCGGCGGGCGGTGGTCCTCATTCCCATTGTCACGTTCATCTTGTACTTCCCTGCGGCCTTTCGCAGCAAAGTCACCATGTGCCGTTTATTGCCGGACAGCGTCATTATTTACCAGAGACAAGAACTCACCAGTCTGGTGGAACATCCCCTTTACAGCATCTACAAGGTGCTGCTAGAGTTCATTTTCAAGGTGATTCCGATTATCCTGTTGGCGGCACTGAATCTGCGGATTTTGATTGTGTATCGACGATCATGCGAGAAAAGGAGGAGGATGACGTTGAGTAGGACTGCTTCGGGGGAAGAGGATCCGCGCAAGTTTGCCGAAGAAAGACGGCTGGTGCTTCTGTTGGGGTCTACGAGTATCTTGTTTCTGGTTTGCATTACTCCGATGGTTATACTCAATGTGACGTTGTCTCAGAATAATTTAACCAAGTATCCATATCAGGTGAGTGTAAATAGTATATTAAGTATTAAGAACGGTAAGGGGTGTTTACTGGTCGAAGACAAAAGTTTGGAGACGGAGCGAAGCGACGTCTCCAATTTGTCTGAGACCAGTAATCCCCTTAACGTTCGTGATGCTTATACTATTTTTTGTACGACCATCAAAAGATTTGCGTCTTTTTATCAAATTCATAAATTGAAAGAATTTATATCAAACATCAACGAGGTCTTTTTTTTAATTTAAAATTTGTTACTATGGTTTCGATTAATATAAACAACAATTTTAAAAATCAGTCTCCATTTTGACCGCTGTCGATTTAGATTTGATCTGGCTTGATTTCGAGTTAATTTTCTTTCCGCGACTATTAGTGAGTGATTTATTTGCTTAAAATATCAATCATGAGTGATTCTGAAAGCGAAAATATCGAAGTCGAACAAGCATGGAATTTAAAATAAAAAAAATCTTGCATGCGTGATTACTCTTGGTTGTTAGTCGTAGCAACCCGTAAACTGAACTTACTGCTATGGAAACCTGTACGGTAAATGATCGAAAAAGCAATGGTCGTACAAAAAAATAGTTTGTGTTATTTAACCTTCGTCAATAGACCCTGTATAATTCAATTCAAATTTTGCACAATTTTTCAATGAATTCTAAAAAACAAAAATCAGTGATTCTACAAGGCGGTTACTTATTTAACCTTTAAACGTATTTTATTTGATTCCTAAAATAACCCCAGTATTAATGAACAATGATTTATAAAATTTTGTACGCTAAAAACAGTGGTGAAAACTACGTTCCGAAATTTCCATAAATATATAAATAAGATATGGATTTTTAAAAATAAGTGATGCAATAATTATTTGTAACTAGTTAAAAGTGATACTTATTTACATGAATTTGCAGTTTGATCAAGGAAAGGGGGCGAGAGTTTCCAAACGAGTTGTAGACATAATTTTTTTGCATGGTGATCCTTGGGAGCTGAAAGAAAAAGGAATCTGTCATTCACATTTCGCGATTTTATTGCCACTCAAAAATTGTTGCTATCACGCATTTACAGACATCGTTTAATAAAATCGTTAAAAAATAATAAAAATAGTGAAAAAAAAAGTTAATAAAAAAAATCCGGCAATTTGATCACTATGCAAAAAAAATTTGCCAGACTTACAAAAAAAATATATATGTATGTTGATAAACTATTTTTTCTGCCATCGCCTTATATCGGGTGTCTCGAAAATGGCGGATTAACTTCTAAGTACGTTATGTACGGGGCTTTCGGAAATCCCAAAAAAATTAAAAAACATTCTTTGTGACGTAGATTACGAAAAAACGTAATTTTATAAAAGTAAAATTGACAACACTACACGCACCTAATGCGCGTATACCTTCGGCTTACTTTCTGATTTCTTAGTAACGATGGTGACTGAAATCCACATTTTATTTTTTTTAGGACAATTCAAACCTTACCAACTAATCACTAAAGAAGATGTTGAAAATTCCTGCTTTGTGCATATAAGTAAGCTCGTAATATTTCGAAATTTTGAACATTTTTTGTCAAAGTTAGTCAACATTACTTGCTAAGATAAAACTGATTTTGGCAATGACATACCCTCTGAGAAAAGAGAGGGTGGGTGGGCGGAGCTAGGAGCTGCCAAGATAAGACTAATTTTGGCAAATGACATACTCTCTAATAAAAAAGAGGGTGGGTGGGGGGCGGGGCTAGTACCTACAAGATAATAGTGATTTTCGGCAAATGAGATACCTTCTAAGAAAAGAGAGGGTGGGTGGGCGGGGCTAGTACTTGCTAAAATACGACCGATTTTGAAAATTTTGAACAAATCTAAGAAATTTCATTAAATTATTATAAGAAAAGACACTAGAGGCTCCAAAGCACTTTCAAATTCTTTCCAAACACAAATACCTAGAATTTCAAGATAGTTTTAAATTTTTCAAAAAAAAACGACGGTGTCCCAAAATTAACCAAAAAAATAGGTCAGGTCAGATTTTTTCAAAAATGGGACACCAATACTGTTTTACATAATTTACAAAAAAATCTTCACGAGCTCCCAAAATAATGCACCATGGATACCCAAGAGTCCCCCGAATTAAAAAAAGACTACGGCACTCAAGACTTTTTCAAATTCATAAAAATAAAACAATAAAAGCTCAAAAGATTTTTTGAAGTTCAACCAGCAACAAAACACCAAATTCCTTTAAATTTATCCAGGGGACCTAAAATTAACTGCGAAAATTTTAAACATAGGGTTTTGAAAACTTTGACAATTTTTGATACGTCAAACACTTTTAACTGCTTACTCAATTTTTGCTGATTTGTACCTTCGCTTTATATCATGTAAACATTGTTGTCAAATGGAATTTTATGAAATTATTACAAAAACAACACAACCATATCTTTGTACCTTCTAACTGAAATGGTAATTAAACGAAGGTAAAAATAAAAATTCGGAGTAATGAAAATGATTTCATGTAAATCACAAGTAAAAATCCTACTTACTGTACATCTCCAAAAACTTATATCTGATAATGGAAATGAAAAACGTAAACCAAATATATTTATTTTTTCATTCATCCATATTTTTAAACTCCACCCTTTCGTCTAGGAACTGGCATCAAAATTCAGAGTGCTTAATTTCAACAGTACAGCTTATTTAAAGAAACAAAGACTGGATTATCAAACGTATAATATTTGCCAAAATTAAAAAACCACCGCACTGCATTCTACCTTGAAAATACAGCTGACAACACCATAGCATTAAATCCGAAATTTGAGATGGGGGAAATCAAGATGGCAGATTTTGGAAGGGTTTTGACGTTTCAAAATGTTTTAAAGAGATATACTATACTCAAATCCTACAAACGTTAATATAATTGACTTAATTTGTTTATGCTTGCGTGTATAGTGAGGACAATTTTGACGTTCGTTGAAGTTTCAACGGTATAATATGAAAATCACCACTACAGGGTTTTTTTGTTAGCAACTAAAATCAACAAGTGGTGGTTTTTTAATTTCGGCAAAAACTATAAGTGAAATTCTTTTCACATTTAGATATTAATTTAGGCGTTGAAGTTCCTTTAATAATATGAACCCATTTACAATTCCAATGAGTTGTTTTCTCAAGGACTACACAATTTATATTGATCAGTTTACTAGTTGGCAATTTTATTAGAATATTGTTTCTTGTAGCGTCCCACGTTTTCAATGATCTGCCTCTGCGTCGCTTCCTTATACCTTATTTGCACTTTCTCTTGTTTTAGTGACCTACTTCCGCGTATCCTTTATTTATGACTTCATTAATTAGTGGCGGATTATGATTTAATTCTCTCTTTTTTTCTCTATCTATTCGTTTCTTACTACACTTTTTTTATTATTCCTCTTATTTTTCTCAGAAGTTTCACTTTCACACCAAATTTTTAAAAACCCAGAAGGCCAAAACTTTTTTGCGACAATATTGCATGGTTAACTCCAGCAGTCGGATTTTATGTTATGCTCGCAATTTACACACCAAGTACATGAAAATCCGCCATTCACAATTCCTTCCAAAAATTTGATGGCTTCACCTCAGATTTTTTTAAATAAATCTTGCCTGAACTTTCTAAGGCGAGCTCTTCCTTTATTTATAGCCCCACAGTGTACAGAGTGAGTCACTAGGCGCGCGGTCCTCGATATCTCATCAATTATTATTGTCCAATTACTAACCAAAGTTTACGGTTCTTTGAGGACTGAAATTATTTTTAAATCTATAGTGTTCCGTTTTTAAGGCGTAACACACAACTTTTTTTTTATGAAACACTCTATATATATTTTTATATATTTTAATTGACCTCTTTCTCAAAAAAAATCACAGTAAGGTTATTTTTAAAATCTTATTGTATTTTTTGCTGAGTATGTACATATTAGAAGCATGAGGACAAAAAATAGAGTAAGATGCAGTAATAAAATACAGGGTGTTCCATTTGAAAAAACTGAAATATAAGGGAGACTTTTAGAACAAGTCTATAGTGATTTTCTTTTTATAACATGATAACGTCGCATAGGAATTTCAAAAATAAACTGTGATTGTAAAGCCTAAGAAGAGGTCAATCAAAATATGTAAAAATGTATAGGATGTTTCATTTAAAAAAACTAAGTTGTGTGTTACGCGCTAAAAACAGAACACTCTGTATGGTTAAAAATAATTTTAAAGTATAGTTCCTCAAAGAACCGCACAATTTTGGTCTTTGACTTTTTTTCTACTTCTAATAATTAATGAGATATCGACGAACGCTCGCTTAGTGGCTTGTCCTGTAATTGTCTACATATATCAATAATGGACATATGAGTTATTGAAAAAAAAATAACGGTTATACAAATAAATTATACAGTTTTGTTCTAGACTATACGCAACACCAACATAAAAGATTGTTATTCACTTTGGATTTTTGCCCAAAATCTGAGTGTCTAGGGGAAAAATTCAAAGCGGATTTATAAACCACAAGTGCAGAAGTATCTTGTTTTGTAGAATTTAAAAAGTATTTACGATCCAAAATTTTATGATGATGCCATCACACTCTTCGTGGTGGTAGTGATAATTAGACAAATTAAAAGCCGTTACAGTGTTAGCACGATATTTCTAAAATACGTATAAAATTTGGGAACTATCGATCCGGTAGTTTCGGAGATTGACTATCTAAAAAAATCTACACAGACGGGCAGACAGACACACGACAGACAAACGAAAACAGGGACCTATTTTTTCATACTCTAGGGGTCATGAAACTTCGAGCAAACTGAAATCAGCCAGTTATCCAACGCACTCTATGTTCTAAAAATTATTAGTCGACACTGAGATCTACCAGAAGTATCTATCGTTTTCTTATCAGTATCACTAACCCTGCATTAAAAAAGTATCTTTTTAAGAAATCGGCCGCGACAAAAAATCAAACCCGGCGCCTCCACCAAAAATAAAATTTAAATTTCAAACTCAAATTACAATCATTTAAATATT